TTGATATACGCCGTTATCCTTCATTCCATACATGTAGTATATTTTTTTAATATTATTTTGGCAATGAACACCTTGTTGAAAATTTGCGATACGCAAAAAAGTGCAAGTTTCAGTAGTATAATTGGTATTGTAGTTCTGTCAGTTTGTTAAAATAGGTTCTGTGCAAGTAGCGATACTTACACCAGGAATTTTCTAATAAAATGTGTATCTTTTTGTTTAATATTTTGGTCTTATTGGGTTGTTGATTTATCGAGTGAAGTTGGATGACTTTAACCTTAACTTCGTATATGCTGACCATACCGCCGAGACGAGTTTTCCGAGAAACATCTGCGGATAATTAATTTTTCAGAAGAATGTTCATTCGTTTTGCCGCTGCGAAAGTTGGGTCCGAATTATTGAGCATCGTTTTTTTTTAATCAGCTGTTCAACGATCGCAGGTTTAAATCACTTAGTTAGGATCATACAGCGATAGAACTTTGGACACAAAATGGCTGGTGTGACGTCACACGAGCGCTTATAACGTTACCAATGCATGTCCTCACTTGGTTTATAGTCACTTTGGGTTAAAACACAGAGAAAAAAAAGAAGCAACTATTTTATTACTTCACACGATGAGTTATATATAGTAACGTGAGATAATCAACAGTATAGCAATAGCTCAATTTTACAAGAAAATTATACGAAATTGATTCCATTCCATTAATTGAACGAAACAGGGAGGTATATCTAAAAAATATACAGTACCGGTACGGTACGCTGACAGACAAATTCATCCACTTGAAGAAACAGAGGAATAGCCATCAAGGTAAACCTTTTTTAATGCTTGTTTGAATGCATTATAATTCTTGATTCGAATACTTTCAGATAACGAATTCCATAACTTAATACCTACATATTTTATTGAATTTCGGGTACGGTTTGTGGAAAAAAGATTCACATAGTAGGAGCCACAGGCAGAAGAACGAGTTCTGTGTGAATGAATACTGCTTTGCTTAGAAAAGTAGTCATAAAATGTGACAGGAAGATCGTTGTTATGATGTTGGTGCATTAGTTTCAGAACCTCTATTTTATGAATAGCTGCCAATTTAATAATTTGAAGTTTAAAGTAGTTTGGGTTAGGTTGATCATGACGTCCACTACCAGAAACGGCACGGATGGCTCTATTTTGCATGATCTCGATTCGGTGTAATAGTGTTTTATCGCCTGTACCCCATGCAATAATGCCATATTGAATGTGGGTCTGAAAAAGCGAGTGACTCATCAGCAATCAGTCTTATTAGACCACTGAATAATAGTTATAATAATTGTTTTGTCAAATCCCGGTCCCAATGACTAAACAAAACTCACCAACCACTGTAGCCACTTGAGCGCACACTATTGGGGCGAAGTAAACGAGTATTCAACTATAAACATTTTGTTGTATAATACAGACTAGACCAGGGGGGTGGGCACAGTTTTTAAACCGGGGGGGGGGGGGGGGTTGTCCGCCTAGACTGGCGGGCCATGTAAGTGCGACGTAAAAGTTACATCTTAAAAAAAGAACTCTAAAGCAAAAGTGAAAAACAATGAGCCTCGTGCTAACTAAATTCAACCGCAATCTCAACAAATTTCTCGATCTATTTGTTTTGCTGAAACATCAAAATTTGGTTTTAGTTTGGTTGCGTCAATTGTCAAAACAGATTGGCACGCGGGCCATAGTTTGCCCATGTCAAGGCTAGCCGAATACCACGAAATTGTGTAAAAGAGAGCAACGTTTGTTAATTCTCTCTGACTTTTTTATTGTCTTCGGTCTTACCATTCAAAAACCTGAGATAAGTCCATCTTGATACATTTTACGAGGTGTAATTGCTGTTGCTCATCAAATTTCGCAATCGGGACAATAACAGAGAGTTGTATCTTCAGCATATATTACTGAATCCCAAATTAGATCACCGGGAATGTTCAAATTGAAGCGTAATAACTGAATTCCATATTAGATTATCTGGAATGTCGATAACAAAGCGCAAAAACACCGTAGGTTCAAGAGTTCATCCACGAGAACCTGGGTATATAGTATACAGCCTGACAGCGAAAAATGATGTCAATTTTGCAAAAGCACAAAATTGAAATAAAACAAAAATTTGAACTATGCTGAGACCCCCTCTTGCGCAAGAAATACCATGTCAAACTTTAACAGATGCTTTCGGAATGCGCACGGGGAAATTGGTGGCCTGCAATTCTTAGGGTTGGGTACATGGTGTAAAGAACACGTTGAACGTTGTAGATGAGTTTAATATTGTAGATAGACACGGAGAACAAACGATGAAGACAACATTAGAACATCGAGAGACGAGACGACACTTATCAAGACGATTCGACTCCTAATACAAGACCCTTCAATACCTCCCCCTAAATATCCAATTGCAACCTTTTTATACGTATGTGCGTATGGTGATATCGATTCCATTAGGGCAGTGGCTCTCAACCTGTGGAGCTTTTCAAGTGGTACGCGAGCAGATTTGAATTATTGCAACAATTAATCTTTCAGTTGGCTAAAATATGCCGGCAACGCTTTATCTTCCTTACTGTATGTATTCGCTGAACAGCGTTTATGGATGTTTCCCCAAGCATCAGTTTCCTTGTTTATTTCCGTAACTATAACCAATCAGCAATAAGTCAATAATGACGCACACGTAACAATTGCAATTTCTGCACTCAGCCGCTCAGACACTTCTGTCGCTCAAACAGATATTCAAGCATGGTTGCAGACATTGCTTCGTTTTTGTAGTTTTGAGTGATATTTGTCAGTTTTCAATTGTGTTTCAAGAAAATAATAGTGAATTAATCTACTTAATTGTCATTATGTCTTCCGCGGAGCTTTACTTCAGTTGCAGTGATCGAAATTAAATCTCGCAAATGCTGCGATGGACAAGGCTAAACTTAGCTATATCAGTACCTGCAAACAGCCCATGGTTGATTAATTTTAATAAAAATTATGGTTTCAAACACGTAAACCAGTTTATATGCGCCAACACACCAAAACACTCTCAGAATAAGCCTAAAGTTTGCAATGGTAAAGTATAAGAGTAATTTTTCCCGGGTCAATGGTCGGGGAAACGTCCATAGCACTGGTGCGCTATCGGTCCTTGTCTTTAGAGATCGCCCTCGCCCGCTATTGCCCGTCTTAAATGAAGCGATATGGGCATGTTTTTGTTCGTTTTGCATGTTACGCCACAAAGGATATAGTGCCACATTATAAAATACACGCATAGCATGTTTTTCTTGTGTCTTTTTCCCCACGCCAAAAAAGGAGCTTTGTCGGTGGTACGCGCCATGGGAAAAAACGGTGAAGTGGTACGCGGTCAGTAAAAGGTTGAGAACCACTGCATTAGGGTTAACGATTCGGGTTTGGAATACTAATTAACATATGTCATCGATCCAATTATATTTTTTGGTTGTCATCTGTTTGTCTAATTACAACGGGCCCTATATCGATCCAATTCATGAATTTGGAGAAATTCGAAATTTGCAATTTCCAGTCTTTTTAATGTATTTTACCTGAAATAACGAATTTATCCCTAAACTGGGATGTCTGACTAGTTAGGCTATATATTAATAGTAAAATGATACTACACCATCAAAAGAAATTCGAGGAAAAACGTTTGCAAAGCGAACTTTTTTAAAACGCTGTCATGTTAATTGAAGATATGCACGAATACACACCTCGAACATATAAATTTGTGAAAGAATGACTGGGTTTGAATCGGTATACATTTGGATACAGCCGCTGTGATCGCACTCTTTCTTCGAAGCGAGAATAATTCCCATCTGGCCCGGATGGTGAAAACTAGGCCCTAATTTGTCGGGGATTCGGGTTAAAACTTCAACAGCACAAGATCTTGAATATAGATCGGCAGATACATTGCTATGTACAGGGCTGGATCGATTTCACGCCCAATAATAGTGTGTAGGCCAGATGTGTGCTACAGGAGGCCCGCCCTTTCAACACTCCTCTCCATAAAGCACAAAATCCTAATCCGACAGTTTAGGTATAAAAAGACACTCACATATGTAAAAAAATGCACGTTTCTTTGCTCTTGTCGCTGCGCTAATTTTTCGCCGTTTCGTCCGGTGAATTTATTACCGTAAGGCTAAGCGAAAGCCACACTATCTTCTCTTTCCCGCGCGCTATCCGCTTCGCTAATGTATTTCGTTTTAAAATTAATCGTTTACAGGAAAAAATTATTTTTTTTGTGAGCGGCCCAGCTAGATGGCTGAAGTTTGTTATATGGCCCACCAAAACAAAGTGTTGCTATGAAATGGCATAATCCAACGATTTAGGACCTAATATTTAAATAAATTGGTAGGTTTATTTCGATTACATGTTCAAACGAATATTTAGCGTTCCCCCGCGCTAACGGCAAAGCAGGCCCGAACCTTAACTTTTGCAATCACTTACCAATTTTGGCATTTTGTCACATTCCCCCCTAAAATCGCCAAAAAGCAACCACTCACTCGCGAATATTGTCCATATCTACTACCGCTTTTGGCACAGTTCAGCCGACGTTGATCATCGTTCATAGTGGAGATTGAGCAAGTCCATCTCATGGACAAGGTGAGGTGAGGATGTGCAGCTCGCCAATTATGAAGCATAACAAAAACATCCAACCCATTTATCTAGTGTTAAAATCAAATAAAGCTTCACAATTAGTAAAGTCGTAGATGAGGCTCGGTACACAGATTTACTGTTCCAGCATATAGACCAGTGTGCTCCACATAATAACGTGCTTTTGAAAATTATACAAATCCCCAGAAAGTCACGACACAGGGCATTACCATTCTACACAGGAAATATCTTTTTCTCGCAATTTTTGAATGGGTTAATGTAGTGTTTTCGGCTTATTTCGATTTTGTTCGAATTCCAGGATTCAAAATGATCAAAAGTATACATAATAATCCAGAACTTAAATGAACGGGAATATTGATGATCAACAACACTAATAATTGTATACATACATTTCCTATATATGCTAGATTAAAATTACCTGACGAGTTCCTGACCGGAAAGCCATTATTTATAACATCAAAAATGTATAATTATTTAAAAAATAAGCTCCGAAGCAAAAGTAACTGATTAAACCAGTAACATGGTAAATATTAGATAAGGGAGCAAAACAATTTCCTAAAACGATTCTCGACCGAGTCAAGCATGAAGACTGAAATCAAGCAACTAGGTCAGTAGGATTTTTTGGATGTTTTTTTCTAAGGGATAGATATATCATTTCAAAGGAAGAAATAGTGTCGCATATTACAGGTAAAATCTGACATGATATATTACTCGATTTTGCCACACAATGATAATTTGAAACAGGGATATCTAGAATATCAACTTCTGACAGCAAAATGAAAAGATAAAGAGCACAAATTATTAACGTTGGTATATTATTAATAATACTATATATACATAAAATTATTATTATAGGCACGATTCATTTTGTAGAGAATAGTCACAAAAGCATCAACATTCTAGCTGGCAGAAAACAAAGCATATTCGAGCATAGCTTACAAAATTGGATATAGATCGATACCAACATATGAAAGAGGAAAAATTATGGAATATTGGAATAATGCTGTTCAGAACGACAGAACTGTTATATTACTGTTTTCCCCCATGCTCATTCCCCTCCTTACCCCATTAAAAACAAGTATGTTGCAAACAAAAACAGCAATACTAAGCAATATAGATCAAATGCACAGCAGGCTACATGTTTTCAGTGAAAAGAACTAAAACAAAAATTATCATAAGAAAAAGATCTTTTTACGACTCATCCATTATGGGTTGGATAAAATGAGTTATCTCCTGTTTCCAATTGCTTGCAAGTTGCAAGAGTTGTTGCTAAGAAAGTTATAAATGTGGGCACTCCCGAAGTATTGCGCACAACCTGAACCCTAACCTGGTACACATACTATGTTCAGGTTGTGTGCCATCTTGGTGCATCCTGCTATGACCAGCTGTTGCTTCAAATTAAGGTTGATTACATATTTGGGTGCTCTCGAAGTATTCGTACCAAGATGGCACACAACCTGAACATAGTATGTGTAGCGGGTTAGGGTTGTTCAGGTTGTGTGTCATCTTGGTACAAATACTTCTGGAGCGCCCATATTTGTTTGATTAGACCGCAGATACGACAATTTCATTTTCTTTTTCAATAAAAAGAGTTTATAAATCAAAGATTGAAAATACGATCTGGTGATTGGTGAGTTAATTTATAAGAACGTAATTGAATTCATATAGTTACTCAGTAGTAAAAGCATAAATACAAAATTTCTGTTATACATTATTAACTTGAAATGAGGCAAAAAATACACCATTAACTAAATATACTCCTATGATAAAAAAGATTTAGACATCGAGCAGTTTTGCATTAGATTGATATATTCCTACTCATTGATTCGATCAGTCATGAAATTGCATCATCATGGCAGAAACATTTTGTCACAATTTGATAAAAAATATGATATCATGTCCCATTGAAAAGCATTACTAGGCTATACCATTCATTTCAACTTTTCGTGGATGAACTAACAAGATCTCAACTTGAACTGTTGCTTGCACCATAATGACAAAAACAAACTTTTAATGCTAAACCTCTAGAATAAAATAAATAGATGAATGTGTTCCACGGCGATTCTCTCCAAATTTGATATCTGCATCAAAATACCTAATTCTACTGATTTAATTGAAATTTGTAAATAAATGCAGCAGAAATTATTGGTCAGAGATTTATATTCAGCATCATGAATTTCACAACTTGTGCAACTGTTGGTACAACCAGTTATCTAAATCTCTTTGTCTAATTGTCCACATTGAACTATTAATGACTTTGTATATCAAAGAAATTAGGGACTGACAAATGTGTAAGGTGCATGTGAAATAGGAGTTTTTGGCGAGGCCAATGTAAAAAAATCATCGCCAGAGAATCCTGAACGATTTAAACTTGGTTCTGATTGGCTGCGACATATTTTTGGAAGTGCACGATATAGATTTTCAAGAGATGCCACAATCTGAAAATAGAAATACAAGATTAGTTTCAAATAAGAGAGAAAACGACCAAAAGACTTAACTTATCTACCGTCAATATTAAAAAAATGAGCTAATATGGTAGTCAGTAGAATAATATCTGTGAGACTTGCTCCAAAAAACTAATACAGCAGCGATGGTAATTCAAAAGAGTAGTTCATATTGCAGTGAATATCAATTAAGCAAATTTTATTGAAAAAAAATACCCAGAAACAGCAAGATAAGTAAGATTTTTCCACAGAAAACTATGCTCAGATGTTATAACCCAGGTGGTAAGCAGGAAATCCTGACACTGATATAATTTGATATTAATCACAATAAGTAAGGATAAGTTATCATTTTTATCCAGAGAATGAAAAAAAGCCGTTAAGATGACATAATCATATGTACCAGTCAATGTGTGTATGCAAATGCAAGACTATATGGAGCAAGAAGTCTCAACTGAATAGAGATTACATGAACCACCCTACGGTTTTGGGGAGTCCAGTAATCTTCTCGCACACAATTATCCCTCACAGAATTCGAACCTGTAAACCCACGCAAGGTAATTGGAGGTGCGATGGCAAGCATATTCCTAATGCTTAGCACAATGCACCAGCTGCTGTGCTCTATATATCAGCCTTAGTACTATACCAATATTAGCTATATTACTTTCTATACCTGTGGAAACAGCGGACGTTCTTCTTTTCCTTTCTTAGAACAATCTAATATCAAACGCTTGAATGCTTTTGGAGTATCATTCCTCAAATACGAAAGATTTGGTGATAAAATACCTCGACCAACTTGAAATAAAATCTAAACAAGAAAATAAAATCATATCCTTAATTAAGATAGAGGTTAAGCTATAGCAAGTCAACAGTTAACAAGACAATTCAGTGCATGTAAAACTAACATATTACATATTTAATCTCTGGTGGAAGTGCAAAAGATTCAAACATCTTGTTCTAACCATCAAAAACCATAAATAGGACTTCAAGAATAAGAGGTGAACCAGCAGTAGTACATAATGTAGGAGAGCGTTCTACAAATTTCTACCAGCATTAAAAGTTTCAATATCTACATATTATAACAATACATAGTAATAGTCTAACCCGGTGGTTATCAAACTTTTTTGTACCATTACCCGCTTTGGGCACTCTGTACGTCATCATCGCCCCTTTGTTTTTTTTGCCCCCTACTATATCTCTTTCTCCTTCTAGGAGGCAATATAGCCCACATTGGGAATCACTGGTCCAACCCCTAATATCAAAATTTTCAACTCACCAAATCTCTGCTACCGATATGCTGATAAGGAAGTTTCCCACTTGATAATTCATAAAGTACAATTCCAAATGCATAAACATCTGATTTGAATGAATAAGGGTTTCCACCTTGCATTCTTATTATCTAAAAATGAGCATAAAACAGTGGGTGATTGAACCGTTGAAGTATGATTCACTTTTAAGACAACTCATTCTAATAAATTTTTTAGGAATATTCTATTTTGATCACTTACATAGAAAAGCCGAATGTTTTCATCTCAGTACGATTGCAAAGATAAAGTATATTCAAGTATATTATTCAATTTGTATTAGGTATATTCTAAAGTTCATGACCCACCCGACATGGACTGGTAACCGGACGAGAGGTCGTGGTATGCCATATAGTTAAACCGTATTAGGGACTTTCCTCTCAACCTGGATAAACATGAAAATCTTATTCAAACTTCTCTCTTTTTGGAGCAAATAATATTAGTTTACCTCTGGTGCCATCCATAATATTGAACCTGTAGGCTGCATCAATTGTTCAGAACCTGACCATCTTGATTTGACAGTGGCAAGACCAAAATCACCGACCTTTACAGTGAAATCTTCAAGCAGGAAAATATCTTGGATTAGTCGCATTAAGGAAAATTTCAAAAAACTCTTCGAAAAACTTTCATTTACTAAAAAATGTAACAGGTTCATTTTATATTATACTTGATACAATGTATAACGTATTGTCAACCTATGCTATATTATATAGTTGGTCCAGCAGAAGTATACCAAGTAGCAACACTTATATAAACATTCATTTTTAGGTATTTAAAAGGATACTGTTTGATTTCATGTCGCGATGAATAATGTTCTTTGCATGAAGGTAACTGAAAAAAAGACCAAAAAAATGAGTTTAGAGCATGGAATTATGAACAATTTGTATCCCACACTGTTTTATTTATAGAACTGAACATTATTAAACCAAAAATTAAACACCACCACATGAGTTTTTTCATGAGACAATTTTCACAGGACCGTTGTTGGTTGGCACGACTGCGACTTAATTCGACAGTGATGACAAGTTTATTGCAGACTTAATAAACTGCACCACCATTATGCCTCATGACCATGACATAAATGTTGGTTGCACTTTCTCCTCAAAACACACACCAGTTTTGTTAAAATGCCTAGAGCAAGGGTGAACAAAGTTTTTTGCAGGAGCTGCATTCAGAAATTCTGTTTTGTAAAGTATCATATAGTTACACCTAGTCAAAATTTAATACATAAAATATCCTAAAATTAGAAATTTTTCAGAAAAAAAAAATATATGACAAAGTAAAAACCCCAACTGACACAAATTTATTTGGCAAACAAGGAAACTCATTACCAGATGATGTTCATAAAAAGAATAGCCAATGCGACTAATGCACTGAGTCAATGAGACTGATGCATTCGATGACATGCACAGAGCACACAGTGCTGCATTCATAATGTACTTAATCAGTCTGTGCTTCCGTCTATACCAGGGGTGTGCAACCTTTTTCGCAGGCGGGCCAAATATCAAAAACTGGATAAAAACGCGGGCTGCACCTTCATTTAACATTGGCTTTCTATTAGTTGCAGGCACAAAATCGTTTTTGTTTTTGTTATTGATCTCATGTCATCATTAGGGGTCCTTGCAGAAATGATTTAAAAAGCATAAAATTCTCAAAACTGTAATTCAAATATATTGCCACACCCAATTTAAACGAATTCAGTGAGAAATTTCCTATCCCGGCTACTTTTATCCAAATTTGCCCAAATGGAAGTGCTAGCAATTCGATATAACGCCCATTTCAGAAAAAAAATATGTTACCGAAAAGTGCCATATTTGAAACTATGACTTTTCTCAAATGTGGAAAGCTAACTTAGTGGTTTCGGTAAAATACGCCAAGATTAATTTCCAAATAATTTGCTATCAAACAGCATTCAAAATTGGCACTTCTTCGCGAGCTGCACAATTTTCCTTTGCGGGCCGCATTTGGCCTGCGGGCCACACTTCGCACACCACTGGTCTATACAAAAAGTAGACATCAAAGAAACTTACTCCATTCCCTGAGCAATCTGTCTTGCAATATCAACAAGTTGCACCATGTCAAACTTTGTTTCAATAACATGTAAATGACGATAAAGACTTGAACCTTCACACCATTGTGTCACTATACATAACTGTTTTTTGATCGTGTATCCCATAAATAAAAGAATATTCACATGTCGTGTTTTCCTGCAAGATTTAATAACATATATAACAGAATTTATCGTGAGACACGTTTAGACTAAATTTTTTATTATATCCTAAAAATGATATTAAACAGCTACTCGTTTAACGAGCCTACGATTTAATTATAATTAGACAAATGGAAACACGCAGAAAAGTTGATGCTGAGTGCAGGGGTTCAATAGCGCAGTGAATATTTGAATATATTGCAAAGCAATAGGGAAAAAAAATTCATATTCTATTCGAGAGATTAATCACTGCTTAATTTTTGTAAGAATGTATCTTCTTAAAGAAAATCTTTAACAAAATTTCACTAACCGTGCGGAAATATTCACCTCGATGTTTGGAAGTACATATTCGTGCGAACAATTATTTTTGAAAATGAACATTACAAAGAACTAGGAATAGTGATGCCCATTTAGAAAATCTTCCAATCTTGGCGTAGTGATGCTATCAAGCGTGATGGAGCAACAAGACAGTGTCACATTAAATGTCATTGTAATAATTTTTGAATAAGACGACTGAGTTGAGTTCAGGAATTGTCGCAGTTTTCACATGATGTTCCGTTTTTAACCTTCAAAAAATCTATGCGATTCGCAAAAGAATAGCAACCCTAAATTTTGTCCCGCGAGCGACGTCAAATTTGCCGACCCCTGGGCCATCCGAGTCCGCGAATCCAAAAACAAATGGCTGATTAAATCTATGGACTGGTGATCGGACTGGAGGACGTGGTAGGATGAGGAATCAGGGATGAATTTTACCGAAGACCGTTATATATCATGTATTTTGATGAAGGTCATCAGTCTGTAGGGATGAGATATACGAAAATCATTATTATGAGTTTTGGAAAATTAATTTTGTTTTCATTATTTTAATGTGAAATGAGGTGAATTTAGGGAGTTAAATGCAAGAGTACACGGCGGTTTATGAGGAGGTAGAACCGTGGATTCTTTCATTTCTGACCTCTGACATGGTGAAAGAGGGGTTTTCAGTCATGCTACTATTGCTATCAAAACAACCAAATCGCCTTTCCATCAGTAAACGGGGTAATTTTAGATATAATGAAAAACTCGCTGAAGAACACCAAGCTCATCCATCTCATTAAAAAACACTATAAACTATGATTTGTCTCCTTATTTGGTCTGTCATATATTCATTTCAGACTTTCAATTTTTTTTGCAGTGCCAGGGGGCGATGAATAGTATAGGGGGGCGATGGTAAAAAAAAGTTTGGGAACCACTGCTCTAACGGATGGTCAGTACCTTAGTTCATATTGTGAAAATAAAACAGTTTTCTAAAAACAAAAAATAAAAAGACAGTACTAAGACAAGAAGACAATATTCTTACTTTAGGACTGCGACTTCATTCCTAAACGCTTGTAACTGGGAAGGTGTGGGACTAGTAACATTTAATTTCTTTACAGCAACAACACCATGCCATCTACATCGAAACACTGTTCCATAAGATCCTGATCCTATCTTGTCTCCCCATTCAATTTCTTCTTCAGGGACTTCCCAGTCATCATTAGAGTCTCGTCGCATCGTACCCTGTCAAAAACATCACCTGATTAAAGAGAATTTGACAGAACTAACATTCCACAAAATAAAATCTCTTCTGTAGACATAGTAATATGTTTTTCAAATGGTAAAATGACGGTACTCATGTAGTATGTGAACCAATATGGCAGACACCGGAACGTAGTATGTGTACCAGGTTAGGGTTAGGCCAAAATTTCAGGTACAAATACTATGGGAGTCACTTTGCTAGTCCCCGAACTCTTAATAATAGAACTAAAATGAGGAAAATTGGAATAAAATTATGTCCCAACCCCAACTTGGTACACATACTACGTTCCGGTGTCTGCAATCTTGGTTCACATACTTCGGGAGCACCAAAATGAATTTAACTGAAGCATTTACAATGTTGCTTTGAATAACATCAAGACCAAGTGGACAAAAACAAGTTCATTACAATTACCAACTCTCGAACATACCAGCTAGCTTGATATATTAAACACACAGGATAACTCACTGATCCATGGTGTGTCTTGTTTCTATATCCAACAGCAGGAAGACTGCCAATAGTAGCTGCGGCTGACTGAATTGATGATGTTGGTGGGGTCACAGAATATCCAGGTCGTCCTATTATTATTACACAAAAGTAGTTGATGAATTTATGAAAAATATGTACTTTCATTTCATGACCAAATATTGTAGACACCAATTTCTCCATGCACAACTGGGAGTAAATGGCTGTTGTGACACAATTTTCGAGTGGAGAGTTTTATATCAATCTTCGGGCATGCATAATAAACTAAAAATATTTTGGAAAATCAAACATTTCTTGAATTTTCATGAAATTTCAAAATGTATTGCTTTTTCAATAACGTCAGACAAAGAAGTTACGGTGTTCACGATTTTTTCACTTTGAATAATTTATGCAAAATAAAAAACATCCATGCAATACAAGAGAAAAAAATGACTGACACAATTATTTTGCAGAACAAATTAATTTAAAATGATTTTATTGACAAAATAAAGGCCACCGGAACAACTACTAAAGACTTATCAGAAACTCAGAAATGAAAATTACATATAGCGACTACAAAGATTTTCCACCACTAAAATAAAGCTACATCAAATACATTCTGATTTAAAACACAAGGACATTAAGGAGTGTTTTTGGGCACAGAACAATATCATCACTGAGACATTGTAAAATGTCACAAGAAAATGAAATTTATAGATTGTGATAAATTTTATTGAAATCCAATCATTATGAATTCGCTTATCTTTTTTATTATTCAATTTAATAGCAAAATCAAAGAATTTCATTTGAAGAACAGATAGTAGAAGGGTCTGCATATGGGCTTTATAAATAGTACAGAAAGCTTCAGCTACATTTTGGTGCATTTAATTATATTGTAAATTAATCTTAGAAGCAAAATATGTTGATTTTAACGTACAATAAAGATTTAGTATTGTGAGATGTGCAATACTGACAGCATTGGACACAAAATCACAGAAGTTCACAATACAACAGATGATCTGACAAATCAACAAATACAGAATGATTTTTATTATCATTATTACGGTAATTATATATTCAGAAATCATGACTATTCGTTATGACACACGATTAAATAACTCACTAATCACTAAACTATTCTAACTGTTAACAAACAATCAAAGCTGTGCTATTTTTTTCTATGATGTGATGCAAATAAACCAACATTAAAGCAGTGTCTAGTATAGAATATGGGCAGAAAAGTTCGAATCGGTTGCATATATATTTCATAAGATGCCTAAACATATTCTTCTAACATGTTGAATCAGAACTCAGTGAACTCAGAAATAGAGATGTACCGATACTACTTTTGTCGCCGATACCGATCCGATACCAGCTAAAAATGCTGATGCCGATACGCAGATATTCGAAAACGACCGATATTGCCGATATTCCGATACTATGTAACTATTACCTCAAGTGTGCAGGGCAGAAAGTTTAAAACAATAGTCTTTGAGCATTATTAATAGTGCACATTATTTCGGATTAAAAAAGAGAAATATCACACACATGTATATATATATATATATATATATATATATATATATATTAGGAAGTAGATGTTTGGGATTCAAATGCGTCAGTCAATTGATTCAGATGCATAGAGCACTGACGCTAGTAATCTCAAGTGTTCAATTAGAAAACTAATAGAATTTGGCTACTGATGATAGCAAAATAAATAAGTGTTTAGCCTACTCATCGTATGAAACTGATACATTGAGTTACGTGCGCAGGATTTTGTGCCAATACAACGCCTTATTTTATATTTATTTTACACATCGGAAATTTTAATACAAAGATTTGGCAGCGAAAATACTGAAATTGATTGAGCCAGTTTGGATTTCAAATGGCTAGAAACAGGTCAGAATCCGATTTCCGTTTTTACTAGCGGGGGTGGGGTCGTGCATGGCTCATAATTCACGATTCATTCAAGCAAAAAATAATTTCAAGATCAGTATTTTAACCTATTTTTCAAAACATTCTGGATCATATTGAGAAGCTAAATATATCGGAAATATCGGTCTAAATTTAGCCAATACCGAAAAATTGGCCGATGTTGCCGATACCCGATACATCGGTACATACATCTCTACTCAGAAATACATAGAAAATTTATAAATTTCTGTTCCGGTAGTCGAAACGACATACTTTGATTTGAAGTGAGCGAGAACTAACGTTTGTTTTCTAATTCCAATTCATATATTCCAGCACCAGGAAGATAGAAACTAATACAGACACCAAAACTAAAACTAAGACACAAAAGTTTCTGAAGAATATCAGATTTAACCCACAAGTTTACACAGATTCAGATTGATGTTATCAAACTCTCCCTTAAACAAGTATATATCAAATAGTAGATCAGCTCATTTTTGACTTCCAACCACAAATAAATATACTCAAGTTCAATTTCATCTCTAATATTCAATTGAATGTATAAAACTTATTTGTAGTTTTCTTTATTTGGAAGCCATGCAAGTGTTAAATTCAGTTTAGGAGTAAATTAAGACTCCCACTTAATCAATAGATTCTACAGACATAAAAGTGCTAATTGGGAAAAGTCATGCGCAAGAATTACAGTAAATCTACACTAGTTCTGATTACATTTGACCACATCTCTACAGCAATCTAACCTTGATCAGAATCAGACTGTACTCGTTTGTTATGTTGACGAATGGGTGACTCAGTCTGGGGGGTAGAAAATTTTCGAGGCCGTTGGGTGGGCGATGATGAACCATTTTGATAAGACAATAAATTAGGATGAGAAGTATTTCCTTTTATGCTTGAAATATTTTCATTTTTTGATTGGTTCTTACGCTTTGGTGGATTTTTTAGAGCAAGAGGAGAATTTCGATGTGTATTAGACAAATTTTTCTTATGGGGAATAAGGGGTGAATGGGTAATATAATGATGAGTGATATTTTGATGCTGTTGTGGAACAAGTAATGTACTGCTGTGGGATTGGAGTGAATCTGTTTCAGAAATAAGAAAAATAATTACATGACGACCAACCAAACAAAGTAATTCCAAGAACTGAAAATGAGAAATGAAATTATTCATTGACACAAATTTGACTAAAGCACAAAAATGAAGATAACTAAAACTAGCATATTTATACTAAAAGGTAAAGTTGGAAAATAAAATCTTGATTGACATAAAGTGATCATAAATGTCAGACGAGCTATCCTCGAATCAATTTTAAATTCAAAAATAAGTTTTAGTAAAAGAAATTAACCCATAATAAGTCACTGTACCATGTACACAGGTAATTCTTGACATAGCGTATAATTAATGACATAAAAAAACATGGTCATTTTCATGCGACAAAGACCAATACAAGAATAAAAGCTGGATAGAATTTCATTTCAATTCTGCTCAGCATAGTAATAAATTATTTGACGACTAGAATTTTACCCATTTCTAGGTAGATTCATAAACAGTAACAAAGCACTACTACCAACTCACCACTCAAATGCGATTCATTGTAGTCCTAAAAAAGATTTGGTTTTTGTGAAAGCAACAATAGATGAGCAACAATATTCGAAACAACAAAGTATAAACCAACTGAAAGAAATTCATCGACAAGGAGGGTGCTGCTACTACTTGAAGTTATTAAAACATGCGGTGGCTGTCATTTTGTGCACTGTAACAAGTAACTCGGTGTGCTTGATTAAAATGGGGTTATACTGTCTCATTTAGTGAGCTGCGAGCATGTGCACTTTGAGTATTAGAGTTCTTGGTTAAATTTACGAGTTGAATCTGTTTAATCAATCTGTTTGCGGAGCAAAGAGCAGAATTACTATCATAATTATCACAAACATTTTTGAAATGTAAGTCTATGTGATTCAAATTACCGTACTCCACGTTCATCGTATTACATTTTTTTGCAATCATCAAAAAATTTCACAATATTCATTCGAAAAGCAGATCTGACAATATTACCTGCCCTGTTGCAGTCTTGTAAATAATCAAACTCGGTTGAGATGAAGAGCGACTTCTTGTAAATGTGATGCGATCATCCTTGGAAAATTAGATTACACAAATTAAACAGACAATAAATTAATAAAGCACACAAATTTTGACACAGACAATACCAATAATTATGACAAATAGATAAAGCATTCAAGCATTCTGAAATAAAATGTGACAAAGGTTTATTTGATAAGTAATTCAATAAACATGCAATCTGTTATTTTCGATTGTATATCAGGAGAATGATTGAACAATTTAGGGGAATTGTAAAAACATTGATCTGCACTTGAACAATATTATGTAAATATGTTTGATGTAAAAATGACTTAACGATGAGTTTAAAAAAGTATGTTTTTTGGGGGAATTTGAAACACTACTAAACATTCAAAGTATTCCCAACTACTCTTAAAGCAGAAAGAAATACGCTTTATATTCCCAAGTATTCTCAATGCAGAAAGAAATTCGCTTTCACCGCGATCATCTATTATTGGGATGGCGAACCACTCACCTGTGGCACAATGTGACCCACCCTGTCTTTCCATGAAGTCCTGCCTAGAATTATGCAAATAGCCTCCCAAACTATTGTGAGCGAATCCTTATATTCGCACATGATTTTCTTAAAGTCGAGTACCAGAAATCGCCTCAGTCAAGTGCTGAATGTCATGTGTGAGGCTCAAAACTAGGCAATACCAACCAATGGCAATAAAACTGCGAAAAAAATGCAACAGAAAGTTTCCCATCGATGCAAACTTTGATTGAATATCTATGATCCACGGTCATGAACCACAGTGACAGATTTTGTAGAATAAGAAAAAATTTGTGACCAATTCATTGAAAAGTTGTGCCATCCCTGAACTATGATATGGCCTTGGTATAAATGTTACAGATTGTTGCAACCAATTCAATCAAATGAAAATCAAAAATGAGTAATTAGAAAACATTAAAGAGGTTGTAATTGCATTTATAACATTGAAATCTAATAGGGAATTCAAAATTTGGTTTACAATTTCCATAATTACTCTCACACACATTTCCTTTACTCACAATTTGTCCAACACTCCTATGACGCTGTCAATATTATACCAGTCATATAAACAGTGCAGCCTGATTTTAAGGGGAATGCAATATCTTGTTTTAATTGTGCCTCCTAAATTTTTAGTTTTGTATAATTGACTTTATCCAAAATTGTTTTAAGTTTTGCTCAAATCGTAATTTTATACTCAACAATACAATTTTATAATTCATAGGATGTAATAAATAAATTTCAATGAAACTGATACCATTGGCACAGGATAAAATTCAGTTCATAGTTTGTTGGTTACATTAAAACTACCCAAGCAAGACTCAATCAGGAAAGTGTATCATAAATTTAGTGAATTCTTAGTGGAACATATGTTTATTGGAGGTCAAGCTTGGTAGAATATATTCTGTCAGTTTAGTGATTTATTAGGCAGCATGTACAAAGATTTACATACTAAACAAAGAGTATTAAATGAAACAGTGCAATAGGAAAATTCAAATCTGAAATGACTGAGTTCAGAATTGCTCTGATCCGGTATATACATAAAGATAATATATATATATATAATAAAGGCTGAATCATTTTGACCTATCTGTCCTAATTTGACCTTTTTAGTCAGCCTATATATTTTTTATATTGAAAAGGTATAACAAGTTTTTATTTGCAATATGATTTGTCGTGAAATAAAACTGTAAAATGCAATGCAATGAAATATTTCGATTATATTAAAGATTATTTGTAAATAATAATTGCAGTTATGCATTAACCAGTGCTTACCACAAATGCCACCTTCATACTAATGCATTCTGGCTGCCAAGCGTGACAATTGGTGATGAGCATTAAAAAAAACAAGCAATGTGCAAGTTAAAACTAAGTAATTGTTACAGAATAAATTCATGCTTGAACATGTAACAATATCATATTGAAATAATAGTTTACCATTGGGATTGGAATAGGTACAGTTCCTGATGTATCTGTTGGTGTTTTAGGCGAATCTGGCGATGGAGTAGGTGCTCTAATCTTTTCACTAAAAAGAAAGAAATTTTCAAAACAAGAGAAGAGTTTTGCAATATAATAGATTTTCAAATCCATTTGCAAAAAAATAATTTGAATAAAATGCCTCGTATCAATAATTCTATATATTTCTTTATAGTGTCAGTAGCACTTGACGTGTTAGTGAAGTAGCCTAAACACTTTCAATGAAATTCAATTCATCCATTGTCTTGGCCAGTGGCGATGATCATGATGAATTTAGGTGCGGTTCGTTATCCTGGAGCTTTAACTGTGTTGGCATTGCAGATTACCCGTCTTGGTTTCAAGTACCATATGCCCCCCACCTCACTTAGGGTGTAATAATTTGGGTGAGCAATGCTGAAACGTAAAGATTCCAGTCCTCCCAAATAACAAAAGCTCAGGCCTCGTTCAAAGTAAAGGGCACGAGTAACCGTTTCATCAAAACGATCAGATGAAGGGTGGGCAAGGATTTTGGACCAAGGGCTGAAAATTTTGCCCACCTAGACTGGCGAGCAATGCGAGTGTGACGTAAAAAGTTACATTTTATGACCAATATTTACAGTGTCACAAATCAAAAGTGGGAAACAATAAGCCTCGTGCCAAAACTAAATTCAATCGCAATCTCAACAAATTCCTTGAGCTATCCTTGAGCTGAAACATCAAACTTTGGTTTTTGTTTGGTTGTGGCGGCATCAGCGGGCCAGATTTAAGTACTCAACGGGCCTTAGTTTGCCCATGTCAGGGTTAGATCCACATCTCCATTGAGACACATCAAAAAAAAGCAAAAGATATTACCTTATTTTAATGATCTGATCTTTGGTGATACAAAATTCTTGAGCGAGGTGAATACAACGTTGATGCAGTTTTAAACTACACATTTTACAATACATTCCATGAAATAAAATCCTTTGGCAGTGATCGCAGTACGTAAGTGTCAAAAATGTTTTGCGAGTCTAAAATGATATTGATATCAGAAAATATATTAATAATAAATAATAACAATGCATATTTTCCTCAACTTATTAAATGGAACAATTATTTACCAGCTGGAAATTATATATATATAAATAAATAAGTGACCAAGACATGTAAATTACCATAAAAATATCACTATCATAGGAGTGTACGGGGGATTATACACAATTTTTCAGTGTTGTAAAAAAACAAGAAAACATAATAGATTAAACCGAAGGGATGAATATAATGCTGTGCATGATATCAATCAAGCTCCAACTATCCAAGTCTATAAGTTCACTAAGATATAAATGTCCCAGCTCTGCTACTTAACAGATTACATAGAGCGCTCCATATCAGTCCAAAACATTATATAATATCAAGGCAGCGACAGAAAAATAAATTAGATAACGAAACTCACAAAATTATGTTCTGCTTGTAATATTCTAGTTTTTTCTTTAAATGATTTATTATCAGTTCTCAGTTCTAATTCCATTCCAGCTAATCTGCCTGAATCAACTTCCCAGTCCACTGGTTGGCTGTATAAAAATAGAATTTAGGAATGAATTGTATGAAGAGTATTAGGAATTAAATGAATTCTCATATAATATAGGTTTATTGAATGAATACTAAAGGTTGTGAAAACTATTTTTTCACCAGTGGCTTATTAAGAAAAAAAAAATTTTAAATAAAAATAAAATTAATAAAAAACTGCAATAATATCTCATGATATGAGAATAGTACAGAAGTTGTATCATCTCTCGGAAAATAAAATTTGCATAAAATTGAATATATTACTGATATGCTAGAAGATTGAAAAGTTGAAAAACTCAAAATTGAAAGTTTATCACTTATTATTAAGCAGCTTTGCTGCCAGACCTGCAACACTACACCTTACTTATTGACAGTCACCCCGTAAATATTTATTCAACAATTTAAAATAAATCATAAATTCATATCTTATGAATTTAATATTTAATGAGTGAAAACAAAACATTTAGACATTTTCACATGTTTTTATTTTATAAAAATATTATTTACATTATTAATAAGGTTATTAGCACAGCACAGTATAAAATTACAAGTCTATGAAGATCTATTATTTCCTGCCGACAAGAATACTTTTTCAGTGATTGGAAAAAGCCAGAATCACTTTAAATTTCAGGTTGTTTGCACAATGGAATAAAGCATAATACATGATAAATATCATCATATTGATGCTTCTAAAATACTTTTGAATCTTTACAGTAGAAAAGGTGCAGCTCCAATTATCTGGAGATCTAGACAAACTGCTGAAATTGTTTTAGACATACCACCAAAGTTGAAAAATGGTTTTTTACTTAGGTATATAACCTTATTACAATTGCATCCAAATAGATACCCCAACAGGTATTATAATAAAAACAAAATGGCATACCAATCTGAATAATAGTTGATGAGAATGAACTGAAAAACCAGCCAATATTCAGTGGATAAACTACAGATCTCATTAAGATTATATCGATAATTATAGAATCCAGTTTCTTAATGAATAATTCATTTTATAAAATCAATTTTTAAAGAAACACTGAGAAAAAATTTGTACAACTACAAGTACATCTTCCCATTTAACTAATCAAGAGATGTTGAATTTTAAAAGCTCTAAGAGTATACAGATTATAATTGAAAATGTATAAATTTTCCCTAGTTAGTGAAAGAGGATTTCAAATCCGTTTGGTGCATAAATACCTAGCAAGCTACAATATCTACTAAGCAATATTTCATTACACTGAGAAATAGATCATACTTAACAATTCAATATGATATGACTCAAAAAACAGTGGCAAAAGGTAACACAAATGAGTCAATACCTCGGAGAAATATCTGAGTTACAGATCAGTATATATTGTAATATTCACATGAATATGATTTCACAATTTTGTTTGCATCAGGTAGGATTGAATTGAATACAAATCAGCTATTATTTCTGTGATCTATACACTCGACATGACCCCAAACAGATACCTACCTAAGGTAATCCGAACCGTGCAACACATTGTGATGCAACAGACCAGACTGTTTCCTCATTTTCTAGGAATTGAGCAAAATATGACGTAAAAAAACCTGAACTACACCAACGAAGCATACTGTTGTTACTAAAATTTATAAAGTCCATTACCTACAAATACGAATTTACTCGTTAGACACTGGGTCTTTTAAATACAATTTTAACAAAATTTTATGACAATATATCTATCACCCCTAAAAAGGTTTTTAACTTATTTGACAGAACACACTTGTGCATGAAGAATCTGTTGTGGAGGACAAAGAAGTTTCATCCATTTCACTTATTAATATTCTCCTAATTATTTTTGTTTTATTGATATTAGAACAAACCATACAGTGAATCGTCCAAAGACAAATTTTCTGTTACATAAAATTTAGAAAGCTTCAGCTTTGAATACTGCACCAGATGTGTAATTTGAAAAAAATTACCATATGAATCAGCACGATTAATGCAATAAATTTTAAAAGGATTATAATACACACCGGATACAGTTGTAATTTGTTGTAGAATGACAATCATTTTACACTGAAAAATTTGGTTCAAGTGCTGAATTTTAATTAATTTTCATTAGTGGAACCAAAATTTCTCTATGCGGTAAAAATTTGAAACGATAAAGTTTAATAGTATGACAAATGTGTATCAGTGAAAACATTAAAAAGGTGTTTCTTGAATAAAATAGATCATTCGTCTATATTTCTACCCAATACTCCTCAGCCTAAATTTGATATATAGATGTGCTACTAGGTTATGAAACTATACAAATTGTCATAATGAAGGTGAGATGATTTAATCCAACTTAAAAAAGTTTTCCATTAGAATATTTCTACCAGGCATAATATAAAAGAATGAAATATTTCAAAAATTTGTAGCTAAGCTGTTAATTATCATTCTATACCAACAATAATTATACAGTATCAAATATTTTAGGAGTTCATCTCAGAAACTATTGCTTGCTATTCTAGTATGGAAACATATTTATTGATATCTTTTTCCACTTTATGAATGATTTGTTTGAGTTATTATAAATAAATTGACTTGTTTTATTTCAAAGCTACTCTATGGTTATTTCCTTTTATATCCTATGCTCTACAGCAGTGGTGTTCAAACTTTTTAAGCCACGCCTCCTTTTAGAAATTGTCAAGCCTCACGCCTCACCTCAAAAATAACTAGCTAACAATAAGCAAAAATATAACAGATAGTAAGGCTTCATGCTAAGGATAATAAAGATACAAGCACAACAGTGCTTCGCAATCTCCAAACAATAAATATCATGTGAATATCCGAAATAAGATGAGCAAGATCAAATCTAACAAATATTTTTGATCTTAATCAGCTTCATGCACCCTCAAAAAATTGTCTAACTGATGGATATACAACTAAGGCAAAATTACGACCATGTAACCCACTAATCAATCAATAGCTCTAATTCAAATACTGGGCTGCATGAATGAAGGTGATAGTAAATAAAAACAAACTAAAAACATATGGCGAGAACATATGAAAAAGTTATTGTGAGAAGACTGACTCACTTCGTTCCAAACTTAAAAACACTACATTGATCTGCTTTATCTCTCAAATCTTTCAATCTTGCTGTCTTCTGCAAAACTTGGGACTTCAATGATTTTCCAATAACGGCTCCAACCTATATTTTAATATTGATAAAAGTGTTCAAAAAAGATTCTTGCCAACATGTTACAGTCATTAGGGTAGATGGAGAAAAAAGTGAGCAATACAGAGATATAGGCTACTGAAAATTTGAGAAAAATGTATGTTTGCGAAAATCCAACATGTTCATCTTAAGATTGGCCATTTCATTGTTTTAGCAATAAGTTTTAACTTTCCAAGCAATATATTTATATATATCTAATACAGCCAAATTTGTACTAATGTCTTTCTTGTAAATTAATAATTATGAGTTAAATTTTCGAGATTCCTGATTTGCACTTTATTTCAACTTTAATATTTCAAATAAATCGGCAATTTTGTTTTTGTGCAAATTTTCTTAAGATTTTGTTGAAACGCAGGCTGGATTATGTGATTGAACTTACAACACTTTTCAGCATTTTTAATAGTAATTGGGTTATTGAAGTTAATGACTGCAGATTTATTGTGATCACAAGCAGAGTGAGTGAATAGCCTAAGAATAATGATTACCGTTGTCTTGCCATTAGGAAGAAATATCCTGATCACTCCCACAGTTTTTCCAAGTTGATTATTTGTGCCATTGTGATGTGATCCATCTGATGTATCATATGCTGGTTCTATTCAAAGACAAAAAATATTTTGTAGGGTGGAGATTAAAGTATAATGAGAAAACACTTGCAGAAATAGCAGGATTTACATTGCATTTGGCTTTACAAGGTTTATATTAGTTACAATTTGGGCAAACATAAAATTACAGCTGCACAGCATTCAACAGGGAAATTCATTGAAAAAAATTCCCAAACCACTAAGGGGGTAGTGATTCCTTCCATTAACTAGAAATAGGAGGTAATAATATTAGTTTTACAGTTTCAACAATGAAACAAATTTATTTATGTTCAACTCAATCATCATATCCAAACTTTCGTATTTATCTAAATGAAATTTAAAATATCATGGTTCGCCAACGTTGACGCTTCAGAAGTATGTGTACCAATATGAAGGTAACTAATTTTGTTTGTCTACTTTACATAAAGTTGGGTAACGGAATGGAAGCCGATGGGCAGGGGGTATATTCACTTGGCTAACACAGACAGTCCCGGAACTCGTAATAGAACTTAAAAAAGAAAAATCTGAATAAAATTATGGCCCAACCCTAACCTGGTACACACACTACGGGAGTACTAACGTTTTACGTTAGAGTCATTGTAATTGAGTCACAATAAATATCTGCATATATACACCCTAGAATACAAGTTTCTAGAATTACAGTGAGATCCAATTTATATCCAAAATGTCTATTTAAAATTAACGACTTACCAGTGCCAACGTACTGTGGACCAGGCGGGAAAAATATTCTGTTGCCCGGTAGTGTTTGCACCCCGGATGGTTCTTGTGAAAATGAGTTAGTTTGTGATCCTGTAAAACATTTACATTCCAATTAAAATAGTTTTACACTGCTCTAGAATCAAATATCAATAAATCATTAATTCTATTGAATTGCCGAATAAAATATCATAAACTTATGCTAATAATTGACTGAAAATACAACATGAAAATAGAAAATAGCATCCATGCATGAACCTGGATTACATTGAAACAAAAAGATTAACATATAGCAGCAGACAGTATACTTATTGTGTAGATTTTCTCTGAAATGAATACAGGAAAGTTGAAAAATTGGCTTTGGTTATCTTCGCTCCAAACTCGAAATCTGAATATATGAAATATTGTTTACCTTGTAATAATTGTTGTTCCAAAACATCAGTGAGATTATGGTGCCTTGTTTGAAGATCCCCGAGTTTGTCCGTTAACTCACGATATTCCTGGAATAAGAAAAGAAATTCACGGTAGTTACACTCAGTAATATACCTCACAGGTAAATGAGCATAAAAATAAAACTATGGAAAATTTTGCGCTTTTCACAAGAATTCATTGATATCAATGATTTTTGGTTATGTAGAAAGTAATATACTTGCATCCAATCCTGAGCAAGATATTAATAACTAAAATGCACTATTTTCACATGATATATTTAGTATAACAGGTCAAATTAAAGCATGGCGTTTATAAAGTGAAAAAAGTTGCAAAAACAATATTATTGACACAAAGGCTTCGTTGATCAGAGATAGCAAATATAAATTTAGAACAGGGAATAATAAAAGACATTCAAATTCTGCTCCCTCTGGAAGGAGGGAGAAGATTAAGTTTATGTAAAACAAAGATTGATTTTTGTAAAGATGTATCTGGCAGAAGTTATTTTATTTACACCCCAGGCATGATATTAATCAAACCACTTCATCTACAGCAAATTACATTGCATATCAATAATTAATGCATGGTTGAAATCCGGCAAATCAAGATAGAGATAATAAGTAGCCTTAAATAGATTCTCATCTTTGCAGGCATCATTTGCAAACGTTAGTCAGTGCAAACACTGATGAAAAACACCATAATATGAATTTAATTCAACTTGGCTTTTTAAAAAAAGTTATTGCTTAATTAAGGGATTGATCTACTTCATTTATGCCTGATTGGATTGGATTGGATATTTGGATTGGATACCAGGTTATGGTTTCTATTCAAAATTAGTTTCAGAAACCACAATGAAGCCAGCATAGCTGTTCTAATAAATCTATTGCAAAATCAATTTCATTGTACTTGCTGAGGCTTTTGAACTTCGAGCCGTTACAAAGAATAAAAAGGAGAATAGTCTTCGTTCAAAAAACCAGATATTTTGATAAATCCTGAAATATGAGAACAGCTTGCCTAACCACCATAAAGATACACAACCAATGATCAATGAGAATACTTACTTCAAGATAAATAGGCGGAGGGTTCGTATTTCCACCAAATTTATCATTCAGTCGGATAATGGAATCTTTGGTCAATCTGATTACTTCATTCAAATTTTGAAGCTGAAATATCATTATATGAATCATTAGTCATTACACTCAAAATATTGTTAGAGGACGGCTAGCGAACTTCTTGGCATCTGAGGAACCAGTATTGTCAGTGGACTTGTCAGTGAAAATTGGGTAGAATTCGGATTCAAAAATTCATAGTTTCCTGAAAAATTGTTCTGATTGATATTATATAAAAAAAACTCAGTTAAAAAACAGTTATTTTGTAGTATAAAAAGTGATATTGGTATGACATTGTCTGCATTTTGGTCACTTGCATTTTTATGAAATTTTAAAAATGCACTTTTTAAGTCTGAGGAGGATAATGTAAAAATACAAGAGGAAAATAATTAGGCACAAATCATTCTTGAACAACAGCAAATATGACAAAGATAAGTTGAAACATAAACAAGGCTTTTAATTTTATTGTTAGCCAGATATGAAATATGTAACAAACCTTCATGAATACAAAATAAACTGCCACATTTTGGGATTCAGAATACAACACAGAATTTCGATTACATATTTCAGATCTATATTAAACAATGCACTCACATCTTCCTGTATCTTCCTGATGTCACTTGATCTCCTCCCCTCTGATGAAAAGAGAGGTTGAGTCATGGTTGACATTCTTTTAGAAGATCCAACCATACAGCATTTACTAGTGTGCTGTTCAGTGATATGTCATCAAATATTCAAACATAACTTTTCAGTATTAATCAGTTGATTGGTTAATTTAGTAATATTTCATCTGTCATAGCAAGGTTTATATTAGTGTTTTATAGTCATCTATGAGCTCCTGGTACACATGGTCGTATAGTTTTATGCTAGTGTAATGTTTTTATTCAAAAGGATTGCTTCAAAAAAACAAAATTATATGATAAGAGAAATTGGGGTAGAAAAAGGGAAATCGTTCTATTTGCTTTTCAGTCTATAGGTCTAGAACAGGAGTGATGACAATAGCTTGATGACAATGCGAGTCATTCAATGAGTTGGGCAATGGCACCGAGCAGTGAATCACCACTGAATCTGTGATTTTTTTAACACTGGTGATACTAACATCGATAAACTAAAATGACAATATTATATTTTCTGCTAACAAGCATAAAACAAAGGGCATATGGCTTAATATTGTTTTTTCTTTGATTTACCAAGTTTGTGAGCAACTTCTTGAACTAGCAGTGCTCCCCTCACAATTTTCACACAATGTATAGACTGACATTTCCCTTACCCAGTGCAAATAAATCAATTTGCTACATCCAAGAGTTAACATTACACACACGCTCAAAGTCAACAACTGGAATAGTGTACTTGCAGTTGCACAACAGTCTAGCGTTTACAGTCTGGCATTTCAGAGCCCATAAAAAATCTCTCTGCTGCGACAATTTGACACACCTTGGGGGGACACAGTTAATGATATATTACAGACTAATTAGATTCAATACAACTTTAAACAGTCGTTACCAAGCACTTCAAAATCGCATGTTTTTTGTAAATTATAGTGATAAGAAAATGAAAGAATATGAAATAATATTTGAATAGCGATAAAAATGGAGTTAGAAAGCCCCGCTTCTTTAAGCTGAAAGATGTCATTCAGAAGCAGGTGCAAAGATATATTATGCTTGTACTCTAACAATATGCTGTGTTTCAGCTCATTACCCTCTTATAAGATCGAACAGAGGACAACCGGTTCGTTGTACAGCAGTACAGTCTGGCACACTATCCAAATTCCAAGAGTTTCCCTCCATTTAGTTCAATAAAACAAACACTCCAAGTGTCTCACAAATGAGGGGCGTCTGGCACGACGGCAAATGAGTCATATTGCGCTATGCTTGTCTCAATAATAATCTAATTAACCGTGGCCATCATGTGATCAAAATTGGTGTTTTTTCTTAAAAACTCTCAAATGCCACGGTAAAAATTTTTTTCCTTAGGTAAATCGGGTTATTTTTTCAAAGAAAAGTCCCACAGTCAGCAATATGAATTATCTTTCATTCTGTGCTTGCTGTCGGCTTTTATGCTGAAGCTTCCTTCCATCAATTATAACAGTGAGTGAAAACCACTCCTTTACAAGACCATCTAGGCCACCATATTGACATAAATCGACAAACCAGCCTTGTGCAATAAACTAACAGGAAGCGCAATTTAAAATTATTAGATTCTTCATAAAAAAAGGATCCAATTTAATGAAGGAGAATTTTTTTAACGTAGCATTTGAAAGTTTACAGGTACTGTGACTACTGCGACTAATTTAGATTATTATTGAGACAAGCATGGCACAATCTGACGCATCCGCCGTCGGGCCAAACGCCCTCGTTTAAGAGACAAATAGCGTGTTTGTTTCATTGAACCAAATGTCGGGACATCTTAGAACTGAAGAACTGTGCCCTTTCTGATGATCACAAACTATTCTGAATCCATAATTTATTATCTGGGAAATAAATAGATAAAACTACACAGAAACACCATCTAAGCTACGGTATACCGGTACCGGTACAATTTTAGAATTTAGACTACTACCAATCTGTAAAATAAACATTGAGACAAAAGATACCGGTAACCAATCGTATCTCAAAGTTCTGAAGGAATAAAGCGAAAATAAAACTGAACTAAAATACGTACTGCAGTACTGCAATTTCATAAAAATGATATCACAACACCAGAATGGTACCGTACCGGTACCAGCGTACAGGAATAACAGAATAACGCCGTACAGCCAAACAGCTGTACAGGGTACGGTACCGGTAACTTTGAACTTAACTTACGTGTCTGTGTCAGCTCCGGTAGCGGTACCGTACCGGTACTCTGGCGTTGTTCCAAAAGTCCATTGGTTCAACTGAAATGATAGAATTCCATAGAGCCTGTAAAGCTGTAGTCGGGAAAGCGAGAACAATAAACCAGTAAACCAACAGATAAACCTGCCGAAAGTAAGGGAGAGTCATTGGATCAGACAGAGGAGAACCGGTTCGTTGAACCGGATTTGAGATACCCAAATAATAAGTATGTATGTTTATTTGCCTCAAAATGTAACATGCATATCAATGTATCTGCATATCAATTAAACAGCGTAAAAAATACGGGATACATGTTAAAAACCTTACTGGCCCAAGACACAGATGTGCGACATACATCTCTACCAAGGATTAGGATTTACATATTTATCCCGGGGAAGGGAAAGTCGATAATATGGCTTAACCCGTAGTAGTATATATTTACGCTTAACCACATGGCGAACCACGGCCTCTCGTCCGGTTACCATTTCATGTCGGGTATAGAATTAGTTAGTTAATTGTTTCTGGAAGCATAGAATTGATGGTCGAGGAAGCCGTACGCGGTTACGTGAACCACCCTACGGCAGCGAGGAGTCCAGCAATCCTATCGCACATAACTATCCCTGAATGCTGAATGCTTCGAACCTGCGAACCCACGCAGAGTAGGGGAGATGCGGGAGAGATGAGCCATTTTTTATACAGTTAGTTATATATCCTCAATGAGAACGTGAACGACGTGAAGTTCCAATAATGCTGGGGATGGCTAATTTTCTTGCGATGTCTTTCTTCGACCAAAGTGCTTCATCTTCGACATCCAGAATAAAGGAGAAACACTCCTTCAAAAGCATCAACTCTTGCGACGTATTGAACAATTCGAGATTTTCCACTTATCTTGACTATGACAAAATCGCCTTCAATAATATTTTGATTTTCTTCTCCTGTGTCATCAGTATTAGGCCGCGAGCCGAGGCCATTTATCTTTCAGTTTCGTAGCGCACATAAGGTAACTACCTGAAAATGATTTTAAAATGTTCCTTAGAAATTTCGTAACAAATATTGCCTTGTTCCCACTTACAAAAGTTGCACGTTTTACAGAAAATACACTTTTACTACAATAAATATGTGTTACCATCTGTCCTACTTTCTCTGCTTTTTCGGTATCATGGGCCAATGAACGCAGACATCTGCATGACGTAACAATCGAATTAGTCAGCTGTAGGTGATTCCCCAGTGGTCGGATGAATATCAGATGTACTACTACTGCTTGCTTTTGCGTTGAGTAGCCTTTCCATAGTTTTTTTCAGTTATTATTAGTTCAGTTATTCTAAGGAGGTGTTGAAAAGTATAAGTAAGATATTAAACACTTGTATATCCTTACCATAAATAGCAATTTTAGTTGAGCACTAGCTCATAAGACGTTGTTGAATAGGTACGGTGCGGTAACTCCAAGGAAGGCTAGACCTAGAATAATATGTCACAAACAACGATATTTTCTGGCTTGCATGAAATGTTTATGATTAATTTAATGACTCTTCTTGACTATTCAGCAGACTTATACTACTATATAGGCCACAGCATATTTGGAAATAGAAATTAATGGCTGTTTCTGTAATGCACGGTTGTGTGAAAGAGAAGAAAATAATCAATTTTACTAATGTCGGTTGGTCTAAATCTAAATTCATAGAGTCGACAAGAACCTGGGAAGCAATGATACGGTAAGTTATGCCGGAGTGGAAATAAAAGTAGCATTGGAAACGATTGAGAGGTGAGAAATCAAGTTGTAGACAGACAGTTGATGTTTTAAAATATAGTCTAGGCCTATAGTCCATACTCATACTGTCATAGGGCATTTCAGACTGTGATATATCAAAATTTAGTGTAGATATAGTCTAGTAATGGTATGCAAACACTGCTGGACTGTAGTACATACGCTCATTGAGTACATCAGATAAAATGCATTATGTATTCAAGGTATTAGTTAGTATTTAGTGGTATTTTTACACTCATACTGTTCCAAATATGATTTTCTTCCTCATTTTAGATACTGTACTACAAAAGAAGACGGCAATGTTCCACCAATCCGACCTAATGCAGGCTCTAATCCCTGCTGCTGTAAAATGGATTAAACAAGAAGTCTTGAAGCGTAAAGGTATATGAGAATCATAATAGTTGCAAACAGCTTAGATGGGCTATTCATATTGAAACACTTTAGCACTTTTCTGCAATTGGAACTGCCCATCAAACTCATGTTGGAGACTTCATTGTGGTTTTCAATTCATATTTTCTCAACTATGAAGATCTTTTGAGGTTAACGAGGCATAATAAATAAAGCTGAGGAATTTGTTTGTTCACTGTATGAAGAGGATATAAAGAATGTAAATGATACCAGGGCACGTCTATTTAACACTGGCAAACATAAGGATTATACCCAACAATGATTCACTGAAGCATGTGGCCCTCAAATCAGTTCTTGAGTTGGCAAACTGCAAGTGTAAGAAAAAAAGTCAAAATAATTTATGCAAGTGTGCCTAAATCAACTTAAATTGCACAGATTTTTGTATTGACTGCAAAATCACAGTACACTTATAGAGGAAAAGTCGATTTTCAAGATGGTGGATTTCGAAAACAATTCAGAAGAAAGTGAATTAGATATTGCAGTTGATTTTTAATAAGTATCATTTATTTGTTTTTTTTTCGAACATTTGTTAGTGTCGTAGTCCTGTTTCTAGAAATAATATTGCCTTTGTTCAAATACATAACCACATAAACTAAAAAAAGATTAATTGTAATATTTCTGTTCACTATGTTATATACATATTGTACAATTTTCTTGACTTTTCTGGTAAATTTCTAAGTGAGAAATAACTGATTTATTTGTGTTTTCGTGCTCACGATGTTAATTTGTGACTTCATTGCTTAAAAATAAATACGTTTGATAGCTTATATAAAATGGATGTAGCTTTTTATGCTCTTCTTGTTG